AGCTACTGCACGCAGAGTAAATATAGAAAAAATATTTTATATTTTCTTTAAGTAGAAAAAAATTGAAATACAACAGTGCACAATTTAAGGCAAGAGGAAAATTAAAAATCTTTACTATTTGTTCTTTCATAACACCACAAGCGTCAATTGCTAGTTCTCAATATATATAAACTTAAATTTAAATAAAAATTTGTAATAAAAAGAAAATGTAAATTTTGACGTCTGCCATCAGTTCTGTTTCATTCTTTCCTTCTTTCTGGAAAAGTCTCTTGTCGAAGCAACATGTTTGCACGATATGGCAAATGCATTCAATGGCGGACCGTTGTGGAAGCGGGTGGGGGGCCCAAAAATTTTGAAAGCCTTTGAGGCCCATGACAGAGACAATCACAAGAGGATTTAAAAAGCACCATAGAAGAATAGAAGAGGATAAACCAAAAGGCACCAGGGGCTCAATCTAAGGTTAAGGTCTAGGCGTCAATGAACTATGTTAATTGTTGGATTCTTCATTTTTTTTAAAGTATTTATGTTTGACATATATATGATAAATGTAGATATGGATGTTACATAGTTTAAATATATAAAAAAAATTAAAAAAATGCATTATTGTATTAAACATATAATATATATAACATTCATTTTTGAATTTGAGTAACATAATAAATGAAAAAAATCTATAATTTAATTGACCTTTCCAAAATAAAATGTCAAAATCCGCTATTAAATGCATTGCTAATTGTGTATTTATAGTCAATGTGTCATAACATATAGATATGTAAATCTATAACTAGATTTATCAAATGAATTGAGTCACTACCAATCTTTTTTTTTTAACTAGGTGTGATTTATTACCTAAGGAATATATTCTTTTAAGGAATTCCTAAACTTGACTAAGGATCTCTAAAAAAATAAGTTCGAGTCCACTAACCAGAATAAAGTTCGGGAGTCGGTTACATATATGAAAGGTTATAGCACTCCACATGCCCATCAGAATGATGGTACTATATTATTTCAAATTTATCCTAAGATCTTGAGTCTAATGATTTCAAATTTTATGTTGAAATATTGTAAATAATTTATAAAATTTTTCCATTAATCTGGTAGAATTCTTAAAAAATGTTTCCTCACCTCAAAAGTATTCAAAAATTCAATTTGATTTCTTGAAGATACTCCGTCGCTGGAAAAATATTTAATTATTTATTTATTTTTTTGTCAAAAAATATATCTAATTATTCCACCATTTGTGTCAAATTAGAAATATTTTCTTTTTTTTGAATTTATGAAAATTTTTACCATTTGTACTTATTTAGAAATTCTTTTTATTTTTCTTTAAAAAGAAAATAATATGACAATTACTCTTATTGAAATTTTCATCTAAATTATTTCACAATTTGGGCCAAATTTAAAGAAAATTTTTCACCCAGAGATTTTTTAGAAATTTACCATTTGAAATTTCTAAGAATCTCATAATTGAGTAATTATCAAATATTTTCAATCCAAATTTTTATTTGGAAAAGAATACAATTTTTTTTGTATTAAAATTTTATCTAAATTATTCCACCAATTGGATTAAATTTAGAGGAAATTTCTCACCTAGATATTCCTTATAAATTTACCATTTGAAATTTTTAAAAATTTCATCATTGGATAAATTATATTTAATTCCAAATTTTTATATTTTTATGTTTTTAATTTTTTTATTTTTTTTTTGAAAATAAATATTAATTATTGTTATTAAAACTTTATCTAAATTATTTCACCATTTGAGACAAATTTAAACAAAATTTCTCACCTAAGAATTTTATAAAAATTTACCATTTGAAATTTTTATAAATTCTATCATTGGACAATTAATATTTATTCCCAAATTTTATTTTGTATTATTTTTTATTTTAATTTAATAATTAAAAAACTTAAAAAAAACAAATAAATAAAATGTCTAAATAAAATAAATAAGAAAATACCAAAAAAAAATCTAAAACGGCTCGGCTCAAGATAAAAATTAAGGCTCAAAATGCGGCTCGGGGCAATCGGCTCGACTCGGCTGGGATGGTTGGCTGGAATGTAGGTCAGTGAATCGGATTACGATCGGGTCGGGTTGAAACAAACAGAAATACGCAGATCCTCTGGGATTTTTAATGCCAAAACGACCTTATTTTAGTAGGGTATAAAAGGCTCTAAACTCAACCTTTCAGCTGATTACTTCCTTCTTCTCTCTCTTTCCTCTTCTTTGTTCTACCCCTTCTCTCTAAACAGAACCCAGATTTTTGGTTGAAGTTCTGTCGAAATCTGGAAAACCGTCAAAAACTTCAAAGTTGATCAGAATACTTGCCAAAAAACTGAAATATCATCAAAAAATTTTGTCGGATTTTGAAAAATTTATAGAAAAAAAGGCGAAAAATTTTTCTAAAATTTCTAAAATTTCTAAATTGCTTCTAACCACTTATAGAATATTTCTAGACTCTGTCTTCTTTTTTTTTAGCTTTTCTGCTCCCATTCGTCTCTATTTTTATGTGTATTTATAGGAATTCAATTTCAGAGTCCTTAACCAATCCAGATTCCTTTTTTTTATTAGATTTCTACTCATTGAATTTATCCAATACATGGTTTAATCCAACCATGATTCCTTGCTGCCTTTATTTACGGTAGAAATCCATTCCCATTTTAATTATTATCTCCTAATTAATCAAGAAAAAAAAGATAAAATAAAATAAATAATAATAATAAAATAAATAATGATAATAATAATAATAATAAATAAATGAAAAATAATAATAATGCTAATATTATAATAAATAAAAATAAAATAAAATAAAAAATGTGGGTCTATCTTGCCTATTTGAGCCAGGCTGAATTGATCCAAACCTAAATCAAATTGAGTGTCTACAGTTGCCCATCTTTGCACATTTTCTGTGAAACAGGAATTGTGCAAAGACGTAGACACCTATTCAAGAGTTAACTCGACACTTTTTGTTGTGTTTTCTTTTTTTTTTGATTAAAAACTTGATCAAAGCTCCTCTAATCAGAAGTTCAACGAATTTAAAAAATAAACAAAGCTTCTCTAAGTAGAGGCTCAACGACTTTGGAAAGATAAATAAAGCTCCTCTAAGTAGAGGCACCACAATTTTGAAAATAAATTGCTCCTCTAGACAGAGACACCACAACTTTTGGAAAAATAAATTTCTTCTCTAAACAGAGGCAACCACAACTTTGAAAAAAAAAAATTGCTCCCATAAACAGAGGCAACCAAGACTTTGAAAAAAATAAATTGCTTATCTACAATCATGTCCAAAGGAGTTATAGATCAGATCTGATGAAATTTGTAATGGAAACTCAAAGATTCTCAATTTGAGTTTAAAATTCTATATTTTCTTTAAATGCATTGCACTCAAATATTCTAGAAATAAAAGTTATTTTATACTAATTAATGAATTAAAATATTAATTAATTTATTTGTTAGGATTTCTGATTAAGAAAATCACAATGTGATATCATACTTAAGAGAAGAAAATGGAAGCATTAGAAATCACTTTGGAACAAATAATTGATCCATCATTTGCAAATACAAAGGTTTATAATATTCACTTTTATTAAATAATTATTTTTGGAATACTATCAAAAATTAATTTTCTTTAATTTTGTAAAAGATGGTATATTCATTCAAAGCAACTTTAATTAATATTACAAATAAAGAAAAACCTTGGTACGATGCTTGAAAAGAATGCAAAGGGAAGATAGAAATTGATGAAGACATCAACCAAACATGGTGCAAAAAATGCATAAAATTCACTATAAAATTTGACCAAGGTAAGAAATTTCATTATAATAGCATGTTATATACATAAAATAAGTATGCATTTTTTATTCTAATCAAATGAAACTTCAAACTAATTTATATCATGTGAATAGGTACATGTTAAAAATGGAGATTAGTGATGGAAAGGAAAGTATTAATACTCACTTTATTTCAAGCAATAAAAACTCTTATTGGTTGTGAAATTTTAAAATATCTCAAGTTCTTGAATGATAAGGTAATGGATTATTATTTACATAATTGTAATTTAATTTAATATAATATAAATTAACATTATTATTATTTAATCACAGAAAAAAAAAACAAAAAAAAGAGGAGAACATGATTATTACAATAATCGGGTTTTAAGTCTAAATAAGAAATTTAAATTTTCAATGCAAATAGTTCAAAAACAAGAGTTTGAACGAGTTAAATGATGATTGATTGCCTCAGAAATACATAAAATTAAAGATAAAGATCCACCATTAAAGAAAAGAAAAAGAAAGCTTTTGAAAAAGCAAAAAATAGAAAAGAAGGAAAATGCAAAATCTAGTTTGATTATAATAAAAGATGATCCTCTAAACAAAATGAAAATAAAAATAAAAATGAAAAATAGGACCTTACACTAGAAGACTCTGAGAAAAAGTTTCTCAATTGAAAGATAAAAATAGAGAAGGATTAGATATTTATTTTTTATGAAACTTCTTTTTGTGTTTATATATATATATATATATTTGAATTTTAAATTTTATTTAGCATCATAATGATTAATTTAATTTTATTATATAAAACTATTAAAATTAAACTATTGTTATATTATATTTTAATTGACTAGCATGTGGCCAAAAACTAGTGTATATATATATATATATATATATATATATATGTTATAACTTCAAAGATTTTGACCGAATAACTTTGAAAATAATGTTAATTTGATTTTATACACACACATTTAAATAAATAAAAATAATCAGTACACCAAATGATTTATAAACTAATTAGATATAATTTATCTATCAATAATTTAAATATTTAATAAGTAAAGTTTAAATATTTATTAAGTAAATTTATTTAATATAATTTTATTTTATAAATTACAAAAAAGTTAAATATAATTTTATTAAAATATATATAAAAAAGACATGAATACAATAAAATGCCATAACCCTATTTATAACAGTTATAGGTTAACATAGCTTAACATATTTAAGCTTGTGTAACGTGCTATGTTAGTCTACATATTAGCACTAGCCTTTAATGGGTCGTACTGTGTAGACCTATAAACTTAAAACTTTCTAGCTTAGCATGATATATATCGTATTTGATTTAATCCAATTATTTAATAACAAATTGTGTCAAATATGACTTACATTATGCAGTATCGTATGATTGACTGTCTAACCATTAGACACTTCTAATTTTAAGGTAGCATTAAAATTTTTAAGGTAAAAAAAAAAAAAAAAACCTATGATACGACCAACGATTGCACCATTTATATCTGATAGCCGACTGCTAACGAACTCATCGTGCCGAAAATCTATTTGCGTCTCCATGGACGGTTGGTTGGAAGGCAAGCGACCCCTCATCGAGAGTGCGCTTGAATCGAAACGGGCCCTTTAAGTAATGACTTCACTCCTTCCCAACTATTGTCCATGGGAGCCTAGGATTCCAGACTCGGTCCCTTGTTGGCAGCTCTAGATTTCTGAGAAACTACCCAAAGTAATTAACCCTAGTCCCCACGTAGTCCTACGGTTGTTTTTTATATTTATCCAAAGGAATTACCTTGGTAATTCTGTTCACTTTTAAGCAAGCTATATTCCATCGAAGAACCAAAAGGAAAAAACAAAGAGGAAAAAGAGAAGAAATTAACAAGCTTCATAACTAACTATGAAGATATTTTATTAGTCTGCCTTGAGCAAAACGACTCTCTCTTTGTCTCTCACCTGCACAGGCCAGACTCATGGCTATGGTACTAGCTGTTTTCTTGCTGCTTCTTTTACTTTGCTTACATGTGAGAGCTGATCAAAACCAGCAATCCAATTTGATAAAATTAGGTTCTTCACTCTCTCCCAGAACCGACCCCTCCTCATGGGCCTCACCTTCAGGTCATTTTGCATTTGGTTTCTATCCGCAAGGCAATGGATTTGCTGTTGGTATATGGATTGTCGGTCTCCCGAAGAACACGACTGTCTGGACAGCAAACCGAGATGATCCCCCCGTCTCCTCAAATGCTACATTAAACTTCACAAGAGATGGTGTGTTGGTACTTCGGACTGAGGATGGAAGAGAAAGGCCCATTGCTGATCTGGAAGACACTGCCGATTCTGCATCTATGCTGGATACTGGTAATTTTGTTCTCTACAATAACAGTGATGTTATATGGGAAAGCTTTGACCACCCAACTAACACGTTATTAGGAGGCCAGAATTTAACCCAGAGGGATAGCTTGATTTCCGCTGTCTCAAGTTCGAACCACTCGAGTGGAATTTTTCTGCTCAGAATGCAGTCTGATGGAAACCTTGTGGCCTATGTAAACAATTCCGGTTTACCTGAAACTGATGCTGAATCTGCTTACTGGGCCTCTGGGACTTCTGGCTCAGATTTTAGTTTGTTGAATCTCAATAAAAGAGGCCTTCTACGCCTGTTTGATTATCATTCCAATGCAAATATTTTGGCAAATAGCTCTTATGCTGGGAGTAAAAGAATTACCATCTATCGAGCAACAATTGATCCAGATGGAATTTTTAGAATGTACTTGCATCATTTTTTTGATAGCTGCACCAACTCATGTGAAAAGGTGGTGTGGCAAAATTTAGAAGATCGATGCGAAGTTAAGGGCTACTGCGGCTTGAATAGTTACTGTTCAGGACGGGGAAATGATACTGACTGCTATTGTTATCCTGGTTTTACTGTAATCAGTGACAATAAGACGTCCCTTGGCTGCTCTCAGAACTTCACTGAAGATGATTGCATAGGTAGGAAATATCAAGTGAAGCAATACAATATTACTACCTTGGAGAATATGCAATGGGCTGACAACCCTTATTCTGTGATACAAATGAAGAAGGACGACTGTAAAAAGTCTTGCCAGGAGGATTGTTACTGTGGAGCAGTACTCTATTCCAGTGGCAACTGTAACAGGTATAAGCTACCTCTCAGATATGGTAGAAGAAGCAAAAATATGTCAACTTTAGCCTTCATTAAGTTGATTCATGGAGGCTTCACAAACTACAGAACGCCCATGGTGCCTAGTAGTCCAACAGTCATCAACGAAGAAAACCCACATTTGCTTTTATCTGTTGCCATAAGTTTAGGTTCCATTACTTGCTTGTGTTTTGCCCTTGCAATCTCTGGTTTCCTCATATACAAGCATAGAATTCACAGTTACAGAAAGCATTCAGAAAATAAAATTACTCCAGGATTAACCGAGCAGTTTACAATAAGATCATTTTCTTTTATTGAGCTCCGGGAAGCAACGGACAATTTCAAGGAAGAGTTGGGTAGAGGGTCCTTTGGAGCAGTTTATAAAGGAACTCTACCAGTTACAGGGGGTACTAAAATAGTTGCAATTAAGAAACTAGAGAATGTTGAGGACGGAGAAAGAGAGTTTCAGAAGGAGATGACAGCCATTGGGAGAACTAACCACAGGAACTTGGTTCGGTTGCTTGGTTATTGTGTGGAAGGTTCAAAGAAGCTTCTCGTTTATGAATACTTGAGCAACGGTTCACTTGCGGATTTTCTATTTCATAACAAGGTGCGTCCAATTTGGAAGGAGAGAGTCAGAATTGCATTGGATGTGGCAAAAGGAATTCTTTATTTACATGAAGAGTGTGTTGTCCGTATCATCCACTGTAACATAAGGCCCCAAAACATACTCTTAGATGATTCTCTGACTGCCAAAATCTCAGATTTCGGGTTAGCCAAACTATTGATGGCAAATCAAACAAGCGTTACAGGGATTAAAATTACAGGGGGGCATTTGGCACCAGAATGGCAAAGGAATGCCCCAATATCTGTAAAAGTTGATGTTTACAGTTTTGGGATCGTACTGTTGGAGATCATCTGTTGTAGGAGTAGCATAGAATTAAAGGTTTGTACAGCAGATGAGATACTTCTTTCAAGTTGGGCATATAATTGCTTTCACTCTGGCGAGCTGAATAAGCTTGTGGAAGATGAAGAAGTGGACTTGAAAATGCTGGAAAGAATGGTAAAGGTGGGACTGTGGTGTATTCAAGATGACCCAACTCTACGTCCTTCAATGAAGAATGTGATCTTGATGCTGGAAGGGACGATGGACGTACCCATCCCTCCATACCCACTTCATTATTCCCTAGATGTTTAACAATTTTAATTACCTGATCAGTTCATTATATGTATAAGGATTGTACTCTCATGCATGCATGTTTGCTTCGCATGTATTTTATGTTTTTGTAGTATTAATAATTCTTAAGTTTTGTTAATTTGGTAATTTAGATTTTAAAAATCATTTAATTAGATTTTAAATTTAGTATTAATTATAAATTATATGATAAAACACATTTAAATGTGTCTTCGGGATTATTTTTAAATTCTTTGAATTTATTTGATTCTTGTTTAAATATTTATATATTTGAAATTCATTTTTTTATACCTCTCAAATATATAAATACATTGAATCTTAATTAATTTTTACATAATATTTTTATTTTATTCTCATAATTAAATCAAATCTGAATTTACGATCTCAAATTCATCGTGCATAGCACCAATTATTATGTTTTTTGTATGTAACGTGTAGTTTGGGAAATGCTTCTAAGATACAGTCGTCAATCCTTTTCCTTTTAACAATAACAAATAAAATAGTTGGAGCCCTTAACTTGTTTGTCCCGTTAAGAATTGATTCACAGAATTCCTTTTTTCTTTTTTTATACTGAAAGAAGTGGGAAGACAATGGAATTAAGTAAAAAAAATAAAAAAATAATTTTTTTTTTAATTAATTTATATATAATACTTTTGAAAGACAATATCAAATAATATTAAAATTTAAATCTCAATATTTATATAAATTTTTTATTTTTAAATTATAATTTTTTTTTATAAAAACCTAATACTCATGGCCCATACATTTTTGTTGCTAGTCGCTACAATGATAAGAAACACTAGTTAAAAACAAAGAAATGGAAAGAAAAAGAGTGGAAATTATTTGTTGCTAGTTACAATCATCTTTTTTATACTTAAAATTCTTATTTAATTTTCTTTAAATTTATAGCTAGAGGGGTAATCGAGCCGAGTCGAGTTGATACAGTGAAAAGGTTGAGCTCGAACTCTGCTCCCAACTCGAAGCTCGATACTTGACTCGAATTCGATCGAATTTTATTTTTCTAACTCGAACTCGATTCGTGATCGAAATCAAGTTACTCGAATTCGCTCGATTAAGCTCGATTAATATATTAAAATAAGTTTGATTCTTATATTCGACAAGAGTTTGATTATTGGTGCTCAAACTTCAACTCGAATTCGAGATATTTTATTAATTAAAATAATAAAAAAATTTAAATATAAAAACTCGATTAAGCTTACGAGTTACTCAAGTCGGGTATAAGAATATTTGAACTCAGCTCGATCGATAAGTTAAATTATTCGAGCTCGAACTTGACTCTATAATAATCGAACTGAATTCAAATTTTATTCGAATCAAACCTAAACAACTTACGAGTACTAATGTATCATTTACACGTCTACTTGTAGCCACCGAGAGAGAAAAAAGAGGGGAGAAAGCTCCCGGCGACAGCGGTTTTGATAGCGACTTTGATATGTGAACAATGAAATATTGGAATTGTCTTCATTGACCGATTAACGCGGTTTGCTTTTCACCTTACTTACGAAGAAAAGTCTACACCTTTAGCACTCTACAGTTAGTAGAAATGAAGCGACTTGACTTTAGAACAGGACGGTATTTACTGAACCTTTTTGCATTTGATTGTATATTTCAATCTCCTGCTTAAAAGATAAGTTCAAACAAAAGTACCTATTGCACTGACCCTTCTCTCTCACACGCTCACCATGACTTCCATGTCTACTGTTCTCTTACTCATAAGTTTTCTATGTTTAGCCAAAAGAGGAGTTCAACAAGAGCAATCTAGCCATATAACACCAGGCTCTACCATTTTCCCCAATGCACAAGCCTCATCATGGCCTTCCCTTTCTGGTCGGTTTGCATTTGGTTTTTACCGGCTAGATAATGGCTTTAGGGTCGGGATTTGGTTATTTGCTAAAAGGCAAAAAATGGTTGTATGGACAGCAAATCGTGATGATCCAGCACTACCATTGACTTCGAGAGCAACTCTAAAATTTACTGAGGATGGAAAGCTTGTTTTGACAAGTGAGCAAGGGGAGAAGAGACTTATTGCTAATGTAACTGCCTCCTCTGCATCCATGCTAGATTCAGGCAATTTCGTGCTCTACGACAAGAACAAGAGCATAATTTGGGAGAGTTTCCAGTATCCGACCGATACCATTTTAGGAGGTCAGAATTTGTATCCCGGCAGTCGATTGGTCTCTAGTGTATCAGAAACAAACTACTCGACAGGAAGGTTTCGTCTCGAGATGCAGGAAGATGGAAACCTTGTTCTCTACCCGATGTATACGGACAATACTAGAGCAAATGCATACTGGAGTTCTGATACTTTTGGGACCAATACCAAGTTTCACCTTTATCTCAATTCTACAGGTCTTCTACAGCTCATCAATGAAACTGATTTGAGCACCTACCATACACTTGGTGAAGCGTCTTTTAGTCCGGCTGCCTATAGAAGTTGGCCTGGCTATGACCCTTACCACTACTACAACAACCAAAACAAGAACGCCACAAACAGCACCATTTATCGTGCAACCCTTGATGTGGATGGAATTTTCCGCTTATATTCTCATATATACAATGGAAGTGGTGAAATCGACGTATCGGCTGTGTGGTATGCATTGAAAGATACATGCGATGTTAAAGGCTACTGTGGCTTCAATAGCTATTGCACATACAATGATAACCAGCCTACCTGCCTTTGCCTTCCCGGTTCTGATTTTGTGGATCAATTTCACAGAACTTTTGGCTGCAAGAGGAATTATACTGAAGCTGAGTGTAAAAGTGGTAAGGCTAATGCACACCATTTCAGCATAGAGACCATGGAGAATATAGTTTGGGAAGATATTTATTACAGCAAAGGGCGAATGTCAATGGAAGAGTGTAGCAGATCTTGTCTGGAGGACTGTAACTGTGAGGCAGCGTTGTTTAAGGAAGGGATTTGCATGAAACAAAAGCTTCCCCTAATGTATGGAAAAAGAGATTTGCAATCAGACGAGGAGATCATGGCTTTACTGAAGGTGGGGAAAAGACGCCCAGAAGAACATGAGATCCGACCTATCCCACCACCAAAGCTACCGGTATATCATATCAAAAGCAAAAAAGTAGTGGTGGAAGTTCTTCTTTTGACGTTAAGTCTGGTTACATTTTCCTGTGTTTTCCTTACAATTTTTGGACTATTTGTTTACAAGTTTCGAGTTCTAAGATACAAAAGACTGTTAGAAGATAGAAATTGGGGCCTAACCAAGGAGCTTACTCTGCAATTATTTTCGTATGATGAGCTTCGAAAAGCAACAAACGGCTTTAAAGAAGAGTTGGGTAAAGGCTCATTTGGAGCAGTCTACAAAGGGACCTTATACAAAGGTAGGGAAACTGTTGCTGTTAAGAGACTTGAGAAGTTAGTGGAAGAAGGTGAAAGAGAATTCCAGGCAGAAATGCGAGCAATTGGTAGAGCTCACCACAGGAATTTAGTTCGGCTTTTGGGATATTGCGCTGAGGATTCCAATAGGCTGTTGGTCTATGAATACATGGCTAATGGCTCCCTTGCAAACCAACTTTTCAAGGCAACAAGGCGCCCAGATTGGAATGAACGAATAAGAATAGCCCTGGATGTCGCAAGAGCAATCCTCTATTTACATGAAGAATGTGAGACCCCCATCATTCATTGCGACATAAAGCCTCAGAACATATTAATGGATGATACGTGGACAGCTAAAATTTCTGATTTCGGGCTGGCAAAATTGTTGATGGGAGATCAAACAAGGACCTTCACAGGAGCAAGGGGAACTAGAGGATATATGGCACCAGAATGGCAGAAAAACACTCCAATATCAGTGAAGGCTGATATTTACAGTTTTGGAATAGTGCTATTGGAAATTGTATGTTGCAGAAGGAACTTGGACACCACTGTATCAAAAACGGAGGAGATTATTCTGTCTACTTGGGTCTATAGATGTTTTGTTGGAAAGGAGCTGGATAAACTTGTTCTTGGAGAAGAAGTAGATAAGCAAAACTTGGAAAGAATGATGATGGTGGCACTTTGGTGTATTCAAGATGAACCAGCTCTCCGTCCTTCCATAAAGAGTGTAGTGATGATGTTGGAGGGGATGATCGATATATCTATTCCTCCATGTCCAACTGCTTCTATTTCCTCCATGTAGCTGGGCTAAGTCAATAATCATCTCATGGAAATTGCAGCTGTACTAAATGCATAAGGATTGCTTCATGTATTTTTCTTCTTTCTTTTCCCTGTCAACATAAATGCAAAATGCATATCATGTCCGTTTTTTAACTTCTCTAGTTAATTGGTGGTGAAAACATGGGTGGTGTATTTTATCATTTTTTATGAAGTATAAAATTACGAAGAATTTAAATCAAATCATTAAAAAAAAACAATAATCAAGATCATGAAGTTAAAAAGTTGAGGGTAGAGATTTATGCTCAAAATTTTATCATTTTTGCAGTTGTTATGCATTTTGCTTCCTACTTTTGTGCATGTGCATTCTAACTTCCAACTGTTGCATAGTCTCTATGAAATCAATCTAATAAGAGTTACAGTTTTGTGGTTCAAAGAATTCTTCAGAGCATCCATCCTCCATTAATTATAACCCCCCCCCTTTTTTTTGAGAAATCTACTAATTATAACTTTAATCAGAAATATATATATATATATATATATAGAGAGAGAGAGAGAGAGAGAGAGAGAGAGAGGATAAATATAACTATATATTCAAAAAGCATATTTTTCCATTAAGAAAATCAATCACAAACGATCGAAAAGGAGAAGGAGGAACATAAATTGGCAGTCATTAAATATATGCACCATTAAAAGCATTAATTATAATTTTTCAATTTTTAGTGAATATTGAATTTGAGATTTAATTTAAATAATTTATTTTTTTAAGAGGTAAACTCTTAGAAAGTTTGGATTTTGATCTCCTAATACTTACAAATTCCTCTTTCTAATTCTCCGTTTTCTTTATAAAAAAAAAAGTGAACATTAAATGAATTGGAGGAAGTGAAATCTTATTTTTGTCTTCCCAATCTGGTTGTTTTTGTTTGAAATTTTTATCAAACCATTTAAATAGTGGAAACTTAGGTAAACAAAGACTTGACTTGATACTACTCTATAACTATACAACATAAAGTGAAAGATAATAATAATATTGACACAGTCAAAAATACTCGTGAACAATAATATCGTCTTTTCTTTTTTTTTGAATTGAGTTAGTAATATTGATATATTAGTCATCAATATATTCATGATTTTAAAATGTTTGTATTTTTTACAATATTATGTTTTTGTGTCAATAATATTTGCTCTTGAAAGTCATACTCTCCCATTCCCATTTTTTTGTTAAACCCTCATTCCCGTTAAGTTTGTTCTTGATTGACTTCTTTTAGAGCAAAATCTACTTATACATTGTGGTAATAATTTTGGTACCGCGAGACGTAAAGAATTTTAAAATTAAAAAAAAAAAAGAGGGACCACCAATCTTTTTTAGGGTACGATTGGTCACCTAAAAATTTATCTTTTTAATAAAACTATAAAAGCGGGTTTAAAGTTTATTAAAAAGATAAATTTCGGTCTATGAAAATTAGGTTAGATTCGGGAGTCGATTATGTGTGGAAAATGATTAGCACCCCACAACACCCATAAATTGTACCATTTAATTATGCGCTATTTTCAATATTGGATGAAATTGTTTCGTTTTGATATTTAATAATATAAATTTCCTTTATTTTTTTAAATTAATTTTATCAAAAATATTTATTTAGGAGTATCAAGAAAATCTCTAAGTTAAAGAATTATTTTAAAATTTTCCAACATCTAAGCAGAATTTTAAAGATAATGCTTTTGACTGATATTTACCACGACATCCCTTGAAAATGAAAATAACATCCTTTACAGAAGTTAATTATTGGTGACTCTCCAATATCTAGGTAGAGTACCAAAAATTATTTCCTTTGGAATATTATTTTTATTTTGTTTTAAAATTACACATTTTTAAAAGTGAGTAAATTAAATAAAAAAATATTTTGTATGAAAAAGTAAATGATGGTGTTTTCAAGTAAGTAGAAATTAAAGACAAGAATGCGAACAAGTGCAAACAATAACAAATAAATGCATGTAAGCTAATAAGTACTATGTATAATGATGGAATGCTATCTTGAAATTGGATTCTTAAATATAATGATACCACCTTGACTCTCCAACATCTAAGTAGAGCTTAGGTGCAATTATTTATATTTAAGATTCAGTTTATTATTATTCGCTTTTTATTATTAAACAGTTATTAACCCCATTATTAAAGCAAATTAAGAACTCATGAGAAAAACTTAATGGAATAAGATTTCTTTAAATACCCAATTATTTAGGTGGCATTCAAGAACAAATTACTTCACTTAAGATTTTCGCACATATCCTTAAAGTTTTGAAAAGGTTTTAAGTATAGGTTCAGATCAAGATTTTAAGATTTGGTGAGTTTCGGGCAATGATTCGAGATTTCGTGCCAAATTTGAAGTTTTCAAAATTTTGGATTTTAAGGTTTAAATGATTTAGGGTTTTGATGTTTTAGAGATTGATTTTAGGGTTTGGAGATTTTGGGGTTTCATTTTAGGATTTGGAGGTTTTGGGGTTTGATTTTAGGGTTTGGAGGTTTTGGGGTTTGATTTTAGGGTTTGGAGGGTTTAGGGTTTGATTTTAGGGTTTGGAGATTTTAGGGTTTGGAGGGTTTGGGGTTTGATTTTAGGGTTTGGAGATTTGGGGTTTGATTTTAGTGTTCGGAGGGTTTAGGGTTTGATTTTAGGATTTATTTTACTATTATTTTATTATTATTATTATTTATTATTATCTTTTTTATATATATTTTTAATTTTTTTATAATAATTCCCCAACATCTAGGCAAAATTATTTTTAAAAGTATATTTTTATTCCCTCTAACATTTAGGCAGTGAAAATAAAATAAATAAAAAAGAATATTATTCAATTTTTATTTTTTTTAGATTATTATTATTTTTTTTAGCATTTTTAACATTCTTTTAGTTATTATCCTATTTTATTTTCATTTATTATTATTTAAAACAATCAAATATTTATTCTAACAAATTTAAAAATTTATCATGCATAAATATAAAAAATTACTCAAAATAACAAAAATAATAATACATATAAAAAATTAGAAAATTCAAAAAAAAATTTTTTTTACCTAAACCGGACCGGTCAACGGTGGTTTAGTTGGACCGAAAAAGGTTCGGTTTGGCGTGAGGTTCGGTTGAGGTGGTTCAAACTAGTTCGTTGGCAGTTCCTCTGGATCGACTGAAGGTTGGATGAGACGGATCAGTGAGTTGGTTTGCGTAGATCTCGAGTCGAGACAATTGACTATTTGTTCTAAGTAATAATAGATATGGCATGAACAAGAGGAGGTGGTGTTGGTATAGGTGAAGGACGTGCTGCACCCGACACTTGAACACGTCTGACTACCTTTGAGAGAAGATGGCAAGTCCAAAAATATGTACATTAGCCAAATTGACCTCTTAACACTAGTTATTGAAGATATACCACCCACCCAATAGTATGATGATAGGGGTGGAGATGCGCACAAGCTAGTTAAGTCTTCTTTCAAAAGGTTGATAGATTCCATCGTTAAGAGCTTCAGGACTCATATTGCAGCAAGTATATGGAATGGGTAGGTAATAAATTCAATCACAATGGCACTTATGATTTATTCTCGTTATTTAATGTTTATAAAGTTAATAACTAGTTTCTATTTATTAATATTGCTATAAGAGCGAGCTACATTAAAATTTATCAACTATGGGGGCAAAGTTACAACATGTTACTTGTTGACAAGAGTAGAGCTAAGGTATCTATCGCATATTTATCCCTCTTGAGAGATCTTAGCCAGACTAGTAGATATGCTTAGGGGACAGCTTACTAAACATATCTATATAGGAAGCTTGATGTAGCCAGCAGGTTTGATGTTCATCAAATTGCTAGTTATATAACGTTTCTCTAGGCATGTATATAAGAATAGTTATATGATATTATTCTAATTTTTTCTTTTATTTGATTGAAACGAACATGGGAATAATGATGCTTCATGCATTTGATGTAGGTATGAATTTATGAGTACTTTCCCTCATTGGTTCCAGTAACTGTACTAGAATATTTTGATACTCAACCTTGTGTTCTACACTAAAGGCCTCATACATATGCCAATAAATTATAGCGATTGTGGGAGTAACTGGATGACTTACGACCAACCAAGATATGCTAAAACCTTATGCAGAACAATGACAACACTCATTACATGAGATTTGTGTTTTTTTTTTTTTTTTTTTTTTTCTGTTTGAAGTGTGGGAGTATCTTTGAGCTATATCATCCAAAAAGGGTTTTACAACAATTCAGTTTTGTATAAACCATTTCTCCAACCCTTTTAGTCCTGTCTTAAGTAGATTGAGGTTTATCTTCTAGCACGGATTTGGTTGTCTACAACTTTTTAGACCAATTATGGAGAGATGTGATATGTATATCTTTTTTGGAAAGCATCGAAGGAGATAATGTCAAACACTAGGCAAGTGTTCATTAAACTAGGATGCATGGTATGCATCAATTGCACATCCATACATTTAGAGTTCGGAAGGAAGACCCAGATTTTAGTCATAATCAGTCGATAGGGAGCCTACCAGTGAAATTGAAATCAGTCAATTTATTTGTTATTGTTGAGTTTAATAGCATTTATGTGTTATTACTATTTATTATCTTGTTGAATTTGAAGAATCATATTCAACGGCGATATCATTTATTGATAGTATTATCGCCGGTGAGTTATATCAGGACCCAATTATATGGAGAAGAACATTTTTTAGTGTATGTGATTGTTTGGGTCCTCAAAGGTGGCTAGTACTCGTCAGTTTAGACTAGCTATCAATAGCAGTCAATACAGACCACCTGATCCTGCTTACTCTTAACTCGAGCATCGACAAGACCACTGCCTATAGCACCTCCCCAAATAGCTCCACTCGCATCTATTTGCTTCCAACCCACAGCAGCACCAACATCACTAGCTTAGTCTCCAACTCAACGTGCTTATTAGAGAAAAAAGAGGATGAAGGATTAGGAGCGGTAGTTATAAGTTTATGTATGTACGGCATGGATATTTGTACATAGTTTCTAACTTTAAAATGTTAAACATTTTTTTGTATATTTATACATTTATACGTATTATATTTGTAAATGTTAAACACAAACGTTTTCATCAGACAACACATACATGTAACCTCCCATTCGTCTAACCTTTCATTTGTGACAAAACTATTAAATAAGGTTTGCTAAATTTTTATTGTGTTTTGTAAAAACTGAATTTAAATAATTTTAAATTTAGAGTAAATAATAATATTAAATTTTAAATAATTAAAAGAACTATCATCGAAAGGTTTTTATTAAATGTGTATTTTAAATTTAGAGTAAATAATAATATTAAATTTTAAATAATTAAAAGAACTATCATCGAAAGGTTTTTATTAAATGTGTTAAACTATTTACTTTTTGTAC